CAACAGAGGCAAACACTGGTTCTTTGAAAAAAAATACAGATTTTTTTAAGAAAGAAATTGCAAATAAGCAAGATCAGGAATGAAAAAGAGAACATGAGTGGAGTGTAGCAGATATTAAGGAAAGAAAAACAGAATGTACCTTTATAACTGAGTATCAGGAAACCCCTATTTTAGCCTCTCTGAGCTCGCCCTTTTCCTCACTGGCTGCTTCCGTTTTGGTTCACTCTACCTGATAATTTGCTCTTTCAAAGCTGAATATTCCACCTCTCAGTTATAAGCTCACCTTTTAGTCTATAGAGGCTTGTGGACTCTGTACACCTCTCCAGTCAACAGGGTTGGGGGGCGGGGGGTGGGGAAGGCTGAAAGAAAAGGAAACACTCGCCCAACCATAGCACCCCCTTGTGTATTCAGGGGGGTGTCTTCCTTTCCCTTTTCCACTCCTAGCCCTCATTGCCTCGTTGGCTGATACTCTTCCAGCCAGCCGGAGGTTACTTTTGCCCAAGTCTGTCTCTGTACTAATCTCTAGGGTAGAAATAACAGACAACTTATTTTTGGCAGTTTTAGCGATCTGGGAAAAATATATTTTTTTTTCCACTCCGTGGTTCTGATGAGAGCTCAGGAGCTGCAGTTGTAAGCTAACGGAAGATAGTTTCTACCACCATTTAACAAGGGGAGTTTACAAAGCTGAGGGACACAATGAGTAGGGACAGCTGTGATATCGCAGCTGCCGTCTCAGTGTAGGTCTGTTGGGTCCAAATACTGCCTCTGTTGTTTTCTTTGAGGTTAAGTCTTGATTTTTTACCATGCATTGTTTCTGTCTTAACAAGCTATTTATGTTTTCCATGCTTTGTGTGGCTGCTGTCACAACTTCCAAATGATAGAAACAGAGATGTCTTTGAGTAATTTTACATTCAGGAAGGGTGTTGTTTATTTTTCTTATAAAACCATAAATGCATAGGGCCCTCATCAGGCTCTGCAGACATATGAAATAAAGCTTCCACACAGTGAGAGCACATTTTCTCTGTAGTGATCTGTCTCTTCACTTGAAAAGTGAAAGAAAAATGGAGAATTGGATGAAATAGTAAGCCTTTCGGCTCAAGTAATGGACTGGGTCGTATAGAGAGAGACTTTACCCCTTTCTGAAGTACCTAAATTTATGCTCTGAAGTACCTAACTTAATACTCTCAAGGATCACGGGAAGAGGAATTATGTTTAGGGACTGATGATTGTCAATTTCTGTAATACAACAAAATACTTAAAGGTGCACTGTGAGATAACTGAATTAACAATGACTTAAATTCTACCATTTTTGAGATCAAACCAGTGCAGTTTTGTGTGGTTTGAATGAGAGATTTATAATCACCACTATATTTTTATGTATGACATTTTTTTTGCCTTGGAACCACTGTGCCTATAAATATACTCATTCTCAAAATCTTGAGGTAGTGCAAGATAGAAATAGGGTTGTTATCGAGACTAAAAGAGATGTCATTGGTGAGGACGTAGGGAGACAATGACTATTTTTCCTTCCCATATTGCTCTCTTTTACTTTCCCAAATTGGTGAAAGGACCTTAAAGCATAAGGAAAACCAGGGCAAGCCCCACACCACATTCTATAGACTCCCTCCCTTTCTGTGTCAACAGTCCCTTCTTTCCAATTTTTAAACTCTACCCTCCTCTCAGCAAATATTTCTAGTTCTCTCCAGTCTTAAAACCAGACACATATGTAAATGCATTCAACAATCTATCCTTTCCAGCTAGCTACCACTCTATTTCTCTTCTCTTCTAAGGCACACTTCTTTAAAAAAAAAAGTGTATCTCTTTCTCTCTCCCTCTTCACCTCCAATTTATTTCTCAGCCCACAGCAAACTGGCTCCATTTTTTTCCTAATTCCTTAACTGAAATTGCCATGACCTAACTTACTGAGGACCTACTCTTGGCTCAACCCAATTGTCATTTCATTATTTGTCCTGCTTTTAACATGTTTTAGTGCTGACCACATCCTCTTGAAATTGATCTTCCGGGCGCCATACCTTCTGTCGTATTATTCTCTCCTGAATTTCTTCACATCCTCCTGCTGCTGCTTCTCAGTGCCCTTTGCTAACTCTCCTTCTTACTCTCCTCTTAAAACTCATCACTCTCAGACTCCAGTTCTCAGTCTTCTATTATTCTTTCCACTTTCTGAGTGATCTCACCTCTACCTAAGCAAAGATGTCTCCCAAATCCCCATCCTCAACCCAGACCTACCCTCCTGAGCACCAGGATGGGATGTACAATGGCTGTACCTCTCTTGTTAAATATATCACAAGCATCTCAAGTTTGGACCATGTCCCAAGTTAAGTTCATTGCTTTTTTCCCCAAACCTGTTGAGACGCTTTGCTTTCCTTTTCCAGAAACCTGGAATCATTCTTAGCCCCTTACTGCCCTCACCCTCAGTTCCAGGGAATCCAAGTATCACAGATGTGAAAGTTGTACGATTACTCATTTCCATCTCCCCCAGTATGCTCACCTCCATTTCTTGCTTAAACTACTTCAGTGACTTGGGGAATCCTTGCCATTGGTCCTCTTTGCCCTTTATCATCCTTGCCATGCAGCCTCCCCACAGTGACCAATGTCACCTTCCAAAACAGTACATTTTACCTTGATGTTATACCTCTGTTTCACATCTGTCAATGTCTTCTCACTGACACTAACCTTATACCTAAACTGAATACTACCCCTAAAACCTAAACATAACACCATAACTAACCCTCCTATAACTTAAGCCTACATTTAACCCTAACCCTAACAGTATACCTAAACTCAACCATGACCCAAAACTAACTCTAAATTCTAAATAAACTAACTTTCAACCTATACCTAGCCCTATATTTAACTCTCTCCATAACACTCAGCCTAACCTTAACCCTAACACTAACCTTATACCTAACTTCAACCATAAACCTAAACGTAAACCTATACTGAACTCTAACCCTATCCCTAACTCTAACACAGCCATAATGCTAACCTGAATCCTATATCTAAACTTAACCCTAAACCTTACCCAATACCTAACTTCTCCATAACCCTAATGCTAACCCTAACAAAAATCCTACCCTAACCTACCACTAACCTACACCCAATACTATACCTAACCTTAACCTAAGCCTAACCCTAACCTACGCCTAAACTTATACCTAAACTCAAATTTAACCATAATCCTAATCCTAATCCCAAACTCAACCCTAAACCTAACAAAAATCCTAACCCAGATCCTAACTTCAATACTAATTCTAAGCCTGAACTTAAACTTAACTCTAATCCTAAATTCAAATCTAACCCTAAACCTTACACTAACATTAAAACTAAACCTAACACAAATCCTAACCTCAGACCTAACCTTAAAACTAACCGTACGATACATAACCTCATCCCTAAACTTAATCCAAACCTCAACCCTAACCCTAACCCTGACCCTAATGTTTACCTGAACCTTAACACTAAGCCTAACCCTAAACTAAACTCAAACCTAAACCTAACCATATTCTTAAACCTAAATTTAACCTAATCGTAACTTCAACTCTATCCCTGACTCTAATTCAAAACCCTAACATTACCTTTAAACTTAACCATGTACTTAAACTCAAATCTAACCCTAACCCTTACATAATCTTAACCTCAACCCTAGCCCTAATCCAAACTCTAACCCTAATCCTAACCTCAATACTAACTCTAGGCCGAAACTTAATCCTAAACCTAGCCACATCCTAAGCTCAAAACTAACTCTAACCTAACCGTCACACTAAGCCTAAAGCTGTGACTAACCTCGAAGCTAACCCCAACCCTGACACTAATGCCAAAGTCAAACCTAACACATTGGTAAACCTGAACATAGTCGAACACCCAACCCTAACCCTAACCCCACCCTAACCTTAACCCTAACCCACCCCTTCCTAACCCTAACACTATAACTAATGTCAAATCTATACCTGGCTGTAACCCGAACCCTGTACCGAGCCCTCACCATAAATCTCACCCTAACCGTAGAACTAACATTAACCCTATACTTAACTTCAACATGAAACCTCACCTGAACTTAAACCTGTACCTAAAGTCTACCCTAGCCCTATCCTTAAACTCCCCATACTGCGCATATCACCTAACGTTATACTCACTACCTGCTCTACCCTATTCATTTGCTCCACGGAATACTCGTTTCCACTTGTTTCTCGCGGGTCTTCACTTGCTACAAATCACATCATGTTGCTATAGTAAAGATGAACCGTTTATAACAAGAATGTCATGGGGTGGGGTGGGGGGGGAACATTATTCCTACGTGTTGACGTGCAAAGAGGAGAGAAGCAGAGGGAGGGGCTCAAGACATCTTGACACAACTCCTGGTTCTGAGTCCCACCGAATAGGCCAAAGAAGTCGGCTTCCGGATTCCTTTCCTGAGAGTAACCGGAAGGCCTTTTCAGACCAGGAACCTCTTGGCATTTGAAAATTCCCAGGGGAATTGGGGGTCGATCTCAGGCCAATTGTGATGCGATTGGCGAATGTGCCTTTGTAATGTGTGTGTGAAGGCCGGCGTGCGTGTGGGTGTGTAGGAGTGCACGTGTGCGCACCCACACCCAGAGCCTGAGCCCGCGCTGTCAGACTGGGTGACTGGCGCCCTCTGGGGAGAAGTGGGGCTCCTTTCCCCTGGGAACTCAAGCCTGTCCCCTCTGGCGGGCTTAGCTATCCCATGCTTTGTCGGGCAAAGTCCAATAGAAGCATCACAAGGCACCCTGTGTGATTTCAATTTTTGAGCAAACGCGTGAGAAAAAGAAAAAAGAACAAACCACAAACACAGGTGACCAAGTGCACTTTTATAGCCGTTTATTGAACTCAGGAAATCCAACATCCCCATTAGAAGTGAAATCCGCACCAGAATGAGGAGTAAGAGGTCTATCTGGACACACCTGAAGCAGCAGGGGTGTGGCAATTCTTGATTGTGGGGTGTGCACTCAGACGCCATCCCCTTAGAAGAGTCGTCTCCGGGCCTTGCTGGGCGGCCTGCGACGGACCGCGCGGCAGGTCCTGGGCCCGGGACTCGGGGACGGAGGCAGAGGTCTGAGCGCAGAGCCCGGGCAGGGCCGCAGACCATGGAGATCCAGGCTGAATTCGGCCGGCAGGGGGCGCCTCCCCGGCCTGGGCCTGGGCAGCCCGCTGCAGCCCCGTCGGGCGGCGGCCCTGTAGAGAGGTCTGAGCAGGAGGGTGCTCAGCGGAGGAGGGCTGAAAGCCGGGACTCGGTAGGCGGAGGGTCCCATGGCAGGCTGGAGGCCAGGTGCAGCCTCCCCTTCCTCTTCTGCACGTGGGACATGCGCGTGCTGGGCGGAAAGCGATCCGTCTTCAATATTGATCCCCCACGTGGTATCGGCCCCCCGCGGCAGAAGCAACCGGGCGTGGGCAGGAAAGCGCAGATCCTCGGACAACCTCAGGACGTGCTCCGGGACGACCACGACCGTCACTTTGCTGAGTGACAGCTGCAGGGCCGTCTGCGGGGCCAGGACCAGAACCTCATCTCCCAGGCGCAGATGGAGGTCTGTTCCTGGTTCCAGGATGACCACGATCATATGCGTGCTGGGAATCTGCCGCCCCTGGGGGAGAGAAAAGCTCTGCGTCATTGGCCTAAAACAGGGTGGGGGTGGGGAGTCTGTGTAAACAGGGCAGGTGTGGGTGGGAGCTGCCAGCCTCTTCAGCCTCCCAAATGAAAGCTGTGCGTAGCCACCCCCACCTGTCATCATGCACTCATCATGTCATCATCGGGAACGACATCTCCTGGACGTCCCTCGGGGCCTGCAAAGTTCCTCCCATTGCCCTCCAAGGACTCCCTGACTTACGTGGGGGGACTCGGGGGCCAGCGTCGGATCTGGACGCAGAACTCCTTGCACCGCAACTGGTTCTGCACCTGTGGAGAGAGCAGAGGGGGAGGCTGAATGCTCTTCCCACACACGGTTTTAAGAGTGTTTTAAGAGAGCCCAGAGCCAGCAGAGGCCAGAAGCAAGGGTGCCGCACGCCCCAGGCATCCGGAGGAAGCACCTGCACCTTTCAGGATTTGATGCGATCCTGGTCCTCTGGCAGCTGACTCTTTAGAAAAAGCAGGGAAAGTGCCTTACCTGCCCTGGGATCCTGTTCCACATGCCGACGTTTTGCCGGATTCCAATGGGCGGTGGCAGACCTAAAGGACACGAGGGGCCCAGTCAGTCTTGTACACAAGAACCCAGCGTCCACTACTCACGTGCCTGAAACTCCACGTCCCCATCCCGCCCAACCCTCTCCCAGAGTCCAAGGCCAAAGGCATGTGCCGCCCACTTCAAGCGAGAGCATTTCCCAAGGTGTCCCAACACCCACCTCTCTGCGTCCTACCTTACCCCCTCTGCAGGGAGAAAACCAGGCATGGTGCCCACAGGAAACAGATGCCTCCTTAAGGAGCTCCTCCACATGCGAAGGAAGGAGGGACCTCTCCTTGGGTCCCAGAACCAGGGGAAAGCGCCACACCTGTGTAGGTGAGGGCCTGATATGGATGGAGCCTTAGGGGGAGAAAATGGTGGGAACAGCTGCCTTTGTCTCTAAGTGGATGAAAGATCCCCAGGATCACGTGCTACAACCTCCCTTTCTGCAGACGGGACGAATCCAGGTAGGGCCCAGAAGAAATGGACTGAGAGTGGGAGCAAACCCCAGACGGCCCGCTAAAGGGGGACACAACCTCCCCACCACCCGATGTTCCCTATGGGTCCAATGCCTCTGCCTCTGCCTCTCCTCAGAGGCGGTGTCCAGCCTCGCGGGAGGCCAGGGTCCCCATCTCCCCGAGAGCCACCCACTAACACACATGCACACACACAGGCACACACAACCTGCACACAAGTCATCCTCCACCATGCACACGCCCCAACTGACCTGCTCTGTCCTGCCATGTTGTCCTTCCATTCTGTCTGCGAATCACTGGGGCTCTGTGGACGCCGGAAACCGTACATAGTGAAGGGTCTCCTGCCTCCTCCGTGGAGGCCAACCCTCGTCGTGGGCCTCTTAGGGGTCAGTCTGACCCCTCAGCCCACAGATCCTTGACTTCTCCTGGGGAGTAGTGTCCGTCCCCAAGCTGGGCAGTCACAAGGCTTGAGTTTCCCAGGAACCGTTCCTTGTCTCCCTTAGCCTGAAGCAGGTGACGGAGTGCAGGGACAGACTGAGCTCTTGGGGGAAACCCTCCCAGGGTTTTAACAGAAGGGGCGGAACCAAGGGCTGTGTGTTCATGGTCTGAGATAATTGGGCGGCTTCGGTCCCAAACAGTGGGCGGTGCTGGCAAGCGGTGGTGGGGGGGGGTGCGAGGACGATGCCACCAATAGGAGGGAGATGGGATCAGATTCAGCCTACCCCCTGGAAATTCCTCCAACCCAACCTGGCCCCTGGCTCAACCCCCACACTCCGGATATCACCTAGCGTCATACTCACTACCTGCTCTACCCTATTCATTCGCTCCACGGAATAATCATTTTTACTTGTTTCTCACGGGTCTTCACTTGCTAAAAATCGTAGTGTATTGATATAGTAAAGACGAACCAGTTTATAAAAAGAACGTCATAGGATGGGGACGTTATCCCTACATGGTGACGTGCAAAGAGGAGAGAAGCAGCGGGAGGGGCTCAAGACATCTTGACACAACTCCTGGTTCTGAGTCCCACCGAATAGGCCAAAGAAGTCGGCTTCCGGATTCCTTTCCTGAGAGTAACCGGAAGGCCTTTTCAGACCAGGAACCTCCTGGCATTTGAAAATTCCCAGGGGAATTGGGGGTCGTTGTGAGGCCAATTGTGATGCGATTGGCGAATGTGCCTTTGTAATGTGTGTGTGAAGGCCAGCGTGCGTGTGGGTGTGTAGGAGTGCACGTGTGCGCACCCACACCCAGAGCCTGAGCCCGTGCTGTCAGACTGGGTGGCTGGCGCCCTCTGGGGAGAGGCGGAGCTCCTTTCCTCTGGGAACTCAAGCCTGTCCCCTCTGGCGGGCTTAGCTATCCCATGCTTTGTCGGGCAAAGTCCAATAGAAGCATCACAAGGCACCCTGTGTGATTTCAATTTTCCAGCAAACGTGTGTGTGTGTGGGGGGGGGAACCACAACCACAGATGATCAAGTAACTTTTATAGCAGTTTCTGGAGCTCAAGAAATCCAACATCCCATTGGAAGTTAAACCCTCAGGAGTGAATGTGGGTGGGGGTGGGGCTGTGAGTGGGGCTGCTGATGTGCTTGTGGAAGCCACCTGAAGACTCCTCCCACTCTTTTGGATACAGACACACAAGCGCTGGTAGGGGTCATTCTTCAATTTTGATTTTGTTGTTGTTGTTCTATAGGCTTTGCCTGGCCATTGTTCCCAGGCATGTGCAAGGGTCCAGGGCTTCTCTGTGGACCTCACCACTTGTGCAGGAACCACCAGGAAGCCCAGCTTGCTTAGTGTGAGCTGCAGGGCTGTCCATGGGGTCAGAAAACCTCTGAGTCCTTGGCCTCCAAGGGAGTCTCACACAGGGGCGGTGTGCAGGGAGCTGCCATCCCTTTAACCTCCCCAACCCAAACTTTGTTGGCCACCTGCACGTTGCAGTTATTCTGCTACCCATCTGTAAAGATACCATCCAATGTCATTTGAGGCTTGTATAATGAACACTAATATTCCACGTGTCACTATGCTTTAACATTTGGACTTCCCTGGGTTCTTTTTAGGAGTAGCCATAATTCTACATCTGTGAGTGGCTCAACATTAAATTTGTGGGATTCATTCATCCTTACTCTTCTGCCATAGTTATTTGTGAAATTGTACTGCTGAGCTGAGTTCCGTTGGGTGAAGACACCACAGTGCATACCCATTCTCTGGTTGATGAGCATTCGATTAGTTTCTAGCAGAGAGCTGTTTTGCCTCCAGTTTTGTGGCCGAATTAGGACATGTCTGTTGTGGACACTGGTGCAAATGTTTATGTACAGAAAACAGGGTAGGCAGGGATATAGTTTTAGTAGATGCTGCCAATTTTCCAAAGTTGTTCTGTTGATTTAATCTCTCACTAGTCATACACGAATGATCTGGTTGCTCTGTAGCCTTCGTAGCATGTGGCATTACTGTTTGTCTGGTTTTATTCTCAATTTAGCTAAACTAATGTTTGTATTATATTATCTCATGATCTTTATTAGCAATTTCATGAAATTAAAGAGACTAAACTTTTTTACATTTTAATTGAGTTTTTATATCATGTTTATGTAGTGTGTATCCCCTTTTTCTCTTGAGTTTTAAGTATATTTTTTATTTGACAGAATTACTTACATAATTTGGCTTGATATACTTTACCAAATGCATGTAATGCAAATCTCTTCTCCCACTCAGGTTTTTCACCCCCTCTGCCTTGCTGGTTGGTGAATTTTGATAAATAGTGGCTCCTCATATAGCTTACGATCCAATAGGTCCCATAATTTATCCTAGTTATTTGAGTTTCACTGTGTAGAAATGAAAATATTTTCTCCTCATTGACTGTGAAATTGCTCTTTTTTTAAAGCTATGTATTGTGTTTGTGTTAGAACTGAAATTAAGGATACGAGTAATTAAGAAAAAGCCTGATTACTAAAATGTAAGACAGTTCAAAAGCAAATACGCCAATGAAAGCACAGGGTGTTCGACTCTGGAAAACTCAGGACTCAGTTACAAGAGATGTGGGATGTGACTGAAAAGGGAGAAGAGAGAGTGTGGGGAGAAAGTGATATCAAAATTGAAAACACACAAGCATGTTCCAAATAGAAGAAAGACATCACTCCACAGATGCAATTCACTCAACTTTCCCTAAGCGAACTATATGCACAGGAAACTATAAGGAGTTACATATACTATGGGCAAAAAAACAAAGTCAACATAAAAGATTTCAGAGCATACAGAATTTTTAAGACAATGTATGACGAGGTCTTGATGGTCTGAGTGAGAATAATAGGGAATCATCTGACTGTATCACAGTTTATTAGCAGCAGAGACCCCTTGGTTGCCTCTTCCAGCTCCGGTTGGTTCCTGCATCCCTCCGCTTGTGGCAGCACAGCTCCAATATGTCTCTGTCTTTCATATGGTTTTCTTCCTTCCATCTCTCTGTGTCCACTTCTTATGAGGACATAAGTCACTGAATTTAGGGTCTACCCTAAACCTAGGATGAGTTCATCTTCAGATTTTTAATTACACCAGAAAACCTCTGTTTTCGTATAAAGCCTCATTCTGAGGTTCTGAATGGACTCAAATTTTTGGTGGACATTTTTCAACCCAGTACCCCCTCCCCACTCAACTTGGAGTGGTGGGAAATCCATCTTGCATGAAACTGTCTTGTGCCTGGCAAGACCTAAAGGGATTATGCCAGCATCAGCCATACAGAGGATGCAGACAGGCTTTGTCGTTCAGTCATATCTGAGTGGCAGTAATATTGTAGGGGTTGTTTTCTTCAAAAGCACTTGATTCACTACAATGAAGGCAAAATCATAATATAGGTATTTTTAAATTGTGATGTTGATTCTTACATTCATACAAAAGAGGAATTTTACAAATTTAAATAAGAATTTTTGAACAACAAACAAACAAACAACAACAACAACAAAACCATAAGGGAGAATAAGAAAAAGCTGATATGAAAACATTTTCCCAGTTACATTAACAACATGTCTTCATATCCTTAGTTATAGGAGTTCTGTTCAGCTGGTCTTCAGATGGTTCTCCAGGTTGATGGTTCTATAATTTAGATGTAATTTTGTTGAGTTCATGAGACAAGGAGGATTTACCTACTCCCCCATCTTAAACCGAGTTTGTTTGCTCTTTCCAGAAAAAAACTTCTATCAAGGCATTTGCATTGTATACATTACAATACAGAGTAGATGTGAATGTTCCCCCTTCTCCGAAGACAAGGGCAGTTTGAGCTGTGTCCTCCTGTACTTCCTGGAGTGCCTGTGTGATCTTACTTAAACCTTACAAAGCCCTTGTGCAGCAAGCACTGATATCACCCTCATTGTACGGGTGTGTTGAGTGGGGCTCAGAGGAATCAGGTCACTTGTCCAATGTCACACAGCATGTGAAGAGGCGTGACTGGAACGCAGGCCTGTCTGACTCCAACGCTAGGAGGAAGACAGGGAGGGGGTCCCTATATAGGAGGACTCCTTTCAGCTCAGCTAACGTTATGGCTCAGTCATTCAATTATTCAACAAATATTTATTGAACCTGGCTGTGTGCCAAGTGAATGATATACACGGGGCCCTCCTGAAATTCATGGTTGAGGTGGGTGACACCATCCATTGTGAAGGAATCAAGCAGACATCAGATGAGCAGAGCTAGGGGGAGAGGAAAAGAAACCAGAGCAGCCTGGTTGGATGCCAGAGGAACTTAAAGGAAACACCAGTATTTAAAAATATATTCACATGATTCAAAATGCTAATAGTTCAAAGGGCAGGCAGTAAGAAGTCTCCCTCCCACCTCGATGCCCAGGCCCCTGGTTATCCCCCAAGAGCATCAGTCCTCAAGGGGGTGAAAATCAGTTCTAGTGAGAGGCCAGAAAAGTCTGGTTTGAGGTATAAAGCACAGATACACAGAATATATAAATGGACATATTGTACATCTGTGATATTAAATTTTCATTGGGGGCAATTAGGAAAAATGTCTAAAAATGTTTGTTCCTTAGGGTGTAATAATGAAATAAAGCTTGGGAAACTGTTCTAGAAGCAGCAGCCACTGCTCAGGTTTCTTATGAGATCTCCCAGAGATATTTTAGGCATTTTCAAGAAAATATTTATATATCCACTTATCCCTGTTTTTACATAAAATGGTAACATACAATGTGGACCTTTTTTTCTCAGTTAAAATATATCTTGGGGATTACTCCATGTCAGTGAACAGAGCTTGTTGGTTCCTTTTCCACAGATGCATAGTATTCATTTGTGTTTGAACAAAATGTATTTAACCCATTCTTATGGATTGACACATAACATTGGA